GTAATAAAAATAAAGTTAAACTTTGTCATTTTCTATACAAATTAAACGAAAACTACAATTAATGCACCCTTAGGAAATATATTAGACATACCCTTTTAACTTAAATGCTTTTTCGCTATTTGGTTGATGTAAAATTTCCCACTTAATATAACTTAACTGTGAATAAATCTTTTCCTCTCATTTCCCTATCTTTACGTCTATTTGAGATTTCTTTGTGGGCTGTTTTCACCTGGGAAAGTGTTTTCGGCACAGCTTGCATTCACCGGTAATCTTAATAATGTACCCTTACATTGAGACCATACATTTAAGGAAAATAAATTTTATTGAGTGATGGCTCCAAAATTTAAACTTGAACCTAACTTTTTAATCTTTTTAGATTGATTATTTACCATTAGATATATCTATATATATATATATTTCTTAAGATTAATCATTTTCAATTATATTAGTGGATGATTAAGGAATATATATTATCAGTTTACCACCTCCGTCGAGGGAATACGTATTGTTTTTACCTTTTTCCTAATCTAAAATAAACTGAACATTCTAGAGAAACATGTATTCCTAACTTCGTTGTAAGTTTTTCAATTTTATCTTCTTTTTATGTTTTAACCAATAATAATTATCACTCCAACCAAGTTAATTAGTTCTTGTTATTACTCCAATCAAGTATTATTTTCAATTGCCCAATAGGAACAGGTCGTTACTCCAATCAATACTCCCTCACGACTTGACTTATGTCAAATTCGGTCCCAGACTCTGCTTGCTAGTTTTACTTGAAAGAGCATATATGTATGACTTCTCATTGCAATTCCGAACAGGAAACAATAAGAACATATATATTTAAGAATGACACCTATAATATGGCTACATTCTTTAATGAAATTGCTTGGGTAGATGATCTACTATAAAATAGTAGCTAGAAATGAAGCACATCTCAGTGTAATAAAACCAGGCCCGTCTCCAATAAGGATTTATGTAGAGAACTGCAGCTATAGTTATGAGCACCATTATGTAAGACACAACTAAACTCACATAGAAGACACCCATATCAATGAAACCATCATCTTCTCTACCCTGGGTTGGACCTCCTTGGATCAACGGTGGTGGACTTGACACTGAGCAACTTTTCATTGGTTCCCCACAAAGCAAAGGATTACCCTGGTAACAACTTTCATCAAATGTTCCAAATTGCCCGACCCTTTTTGGTGTCTTGCCTGATAGGTTGTTGTATGCCACCCTAAAGGAAGATAAGTAATGCAGCTGAACAAGTTGGGGAGGAATTTTCCCACTCAAATTGTTGTAGGAAAGATCCAAGCTCTCGATTTGCTCAAGTTTAGAAAATGTAGATGGAATTTGACCAACCAAGAAATTATGAGACAAGTTTAGTACATGAATCTTACTAAGGTGCCCAATTTCATAAGGAATTTCACCTGTCAGTTTATTGCAGGATAGGTCTATTCCAGACATGTAGGTGAGAAGTCTTCCCTTGTAAGAATATGACACATTCTTTGTTGTGAAATACACTGGTTCATCTGTAGAAATTGGCTCAGGAGGTTGACCATAAGATGGAGGTTGAGCATAAGATGGAGCTTGAGCTATAGATGGAGCTTGAGCTATAGATGGACCAACTTTGTTAGCCTCATCAAAAGTGGTAATATTTAGGCAAGAAGGTATATGGCCCTTAAGATGGTTTTGAGATAGATCAATCAAGCTCAATTTTTGCAACTTGCATAGCTGAATTGGGATCTCACCTTCAAGATTATTGTTCTTCAAGATAAGATAACTCAACTCGCCAAGCATATGGATGCAATCTGGGATGTTTCCACTTAGCTGGTTGTCACTAAGATCTAGCGTTACAAGAGACGAGCTGTTACAAAATTGTGTTGTTAGCAACCCTTCTAGCCAGTTTTTGGATAAATGAACATGATTTATATCTCTTGGGCTGAAACAAGCTGGCAAACGCCCTGAAATATTGTTATTTGAAAGGTCTAGAATTTCAAGATATTGAAGGTGACAAAAGTTGATAGGAATTGGACCTTCAAGACCATTATTAGGTATGATAATTTCTTGCAAGTATGACATATTACCCATCCAGCTCGGGATCCTTCCAGAGAGATTGTTATTGCTGAAATCTATTGAATACAAATTGGAGCAATTTGATAAGCATTTTGGGATACTTCCAGAAAAGTAATTGCCATTCAACTGTAATTTCTCCAACTGGAATAAGCTAAATTTCTCAGAGAAAATTTGGCCTTGCAGATTGTTGTTTGATAGAATAAGGGACAGTAATGATGAGCAACCCATGGTTAACTTCTTAGGTATTCCACCAGTTAGGTTATTGTGAGATAAGTCCAAAGACATGAGCAACTTCATATCACCAATTGAAGGAGGAATGCTACCAGTAAGAGAATTTCTTGAAATGTTTAAATATCGTAAACTTGGCAAAGATGCTCCAATCTTCATTGGAATATGGTCATCCAAGAAATTTTTGGAGATATCTAGATCTTCCAAACTCATATGAGAATGAGCTAGCAATGTAATTGGTCCAGAGAGGGAATTGTTAACCAGCAAAAGTGTGTTTAACATTGTGTTGTTTTCCAACAACCAAATGGGAAATTTTCCAGTTAGGTTAAGGTGCGAGAGGTCTAAAGTTTCGAGGTCATGTTGAGAGTAGAGGAAGTTTGGAATTCCTTCACAATCTCCGTGACCAACCAAAACTAAGGTCTTTAGTTGGAAAGTTGGTTCCAAGGATTCAATGTTGGTATCTACATAAAATTCAGTGTTGTTAGCATAAATATACTTGAGTTTTGAATGGTTGAAAAATGGTTGAAGAGAGATGGGAATTTGAAAGTGATTGTTTGAAAGCGACAGGTAATGAAGGGATGTCAATTTGTTAAGGGGTGATAGAGCTATATCTCCAGAAAATCTATTTGAATCAAGGCTTAAACTCTGGAGAGAAGTCAAATTTGCCAAACACGAAGGTAAGGGTCCCCCTAAATAATTGCTGCTAATGTCCAACTCTTGAAGATGTGTCAATTCACAGAGGCCTGTGACCCGTATACAACACTTACAAAGTTAGTGAAGTTAGTCATGTAACTTTAAAAAAATATATCGAGTAAAAATAGTAAAATTTGGACAATCGTTCTTATTTCTTTAAATTTGTCACTAACCTGGGCTTGTTAAGGAGCCAGTAAGTCCGCAATCGTATAGTGATAAAACCTTGAGGGAAGTCAATGCTCCAATGCCGTGAAAGAAGTTAGTTGGGAGGATAGAATAATCCAGAAACAACTCTTCCACTTTGGACAAGTTATGAAAACCTAATAAGAAAAGCAATTAATTATGTTCTTGCAATCTTCCGTCATAATTAATAAATTTAGAGAATGGACGTATTTTTCTAAGAAAAATATTCTAAGAAGAAGGAAAAGAAATTACAATAAAGATGAAAATTTACCATAAAAATTTTTAAGCCAATAAAATATAACAAGAAGGCACCATTTTGAAAGGAAAAATTATAATTGTAATTATAAAATGAAGATCAAGCAAGCTTACCTCTTGTACTTGGGTTCATTATTATTGTACCGAACCCTAGGAACAGAAGTTTTAAAGATGGAAGACTTGCTAAAGATGATAGGATGTTGTAGCTAAAGTTTATTCCTCCATTTAGGTTGAGCACCTCCAAATGGTCAAGTCTTGACAGCTTTTCTAAATCAGCTGTTGTAAATTAACAATAAAGCATGTTGTCCACAAGTGTGTAAGTTTGCTAAGCATAAAACTTAAAATTAAAACTGTACCATAGTTTGATGCTAATAAGTTGTTCGAGCTAGTACTCAAGGATAATAAGATACTATTATTAAATTTATTATCACTTAGATCGAGGATTTTCAAGTTATTTCAACATAGAAATGCTCTTGAAAATTACAGTACATACAATCATTTATTCAGTTTTGGAGCCACATATATATTAAAATGAAATAATAGGACATCAATACCATCAGCAAGGCTGGATGCTTCGAATTCGTCTCTAGTTAGATATAAAACCTTGAGAGATGGAAGCTCACTCAAAGATGATAAGATAAAATTATTTGTCAATATATTGTAACATAGATTGAGAATTGCTAGTTTTTTCAACTTAGGAAACTTCTCGAAACTTCAATACATACAATTTTATTAATTCAATTTTGGAGCCACATATATATTAAGATGAAACAATAAGGAAACAAGTTTCAATAAGTGAAAGATAGACATTTATACCTTCAACACGGCTAGATGCTTGGAGGTTGTTGTTGGCTAGATTTATATATTTGAGAGATAAATGCTCACTCAAATATGGCAAAATGCTATTATTGAAGAAATTTCCTTGCAAGTCAAGGATTTCCAAATTGCTCAACCTCTTTGAAAGCTTAAGAAACCCTACAAGTAGATCACAAGGATTGTAATTTTGGTTCAATTAAAAAAATAACACATAAATAAAATGTAGGATAGGACAACAAGAATGAGATGAAAAAGCTAATCATATACATATTGAAATGCTC